TTTGTTTACATTTATTTAGAACAAATTCATATAATGCTGATTCACGTTTTGTTACATATTCATATTGTTCAGGTAAATTTATCACTTGAACAATATCATTATGATAGTTCGATTCTAAAATGATTTTTTCTCTCGATTTTGTATCAATATCAACTAAAAATAATAATTTTATTGTTAAGTGAGGAAAATATATTTGAAGTAGATTTGTATTTGCCCATGTTCGACGAATTGATTGACGTATTGATGCATGAGAACATTTTGATATAACAAATACTAAGAGATCGATGGATTGTTCAGTACATTGTTGGAATGTTAAATTATTAAACTGAAATGAGGATTGAACTTTTGGAAGTGATAAAAGTAACTGTTCATAAGATTCAGGAGAACTAAAATAAATATATACAAATATATTATATTAAAAATTAACTTTAAACAGCATCAAAAGAGTAATAGATTGATATATACAAAATCTTATTTGTTCGAATATAGTGGTTATATATTTAGTAATATAATTAGGCTTAATCTCTTAAAATGATTAAAAAACATACAGATAATTTTAGATATAAAAAAACCCAGATTAGTTGATAATTAGGAAGAATTCTCATTATTTATTAGTTTTTATAATATTAATAGAGATTATTATTTTATTCACTCCTCATGAAAAATATGAAAAATATGAAATATATAGGAAGAATTTTCTATGAGAAAATTAAGTTTCGATATAGCGATTATAAGTATGACAGTTGAAAGTTATACTCGATTGTTAAATAGTTTATACTCATATATCAAATTTTTTTATCTTGTATTTGAATAATTATAACAAAATATAATAATGAAGTATGTGAAAAAGAAGTTGAGTAATTGATATTAATCCTCCTAATAGCAGTTACAGACTTTTCTTAAACCTTGTTTTAAAAACACCGTAGAAATATCAGCAATTTCCTGGCTTTTGAAGGTCAGCAGCGTGTTCAAAGAGTTAAATACTATTATAATTGAACTCGTTGAACACGCTAATACTCATGAAAAATCAAGAAATTGCAGTTATTTCTATTGAATTTTTTACATTATTAAGAAAGAGACCAAAAATAACCTTGACTGATTCTACAAGGATAAAAACGATTTAGGATTGATTTATATGAAAATGAAATTTTTCTCTTCAGACTAATTATTGAAAAGAAAAGCTTTCATCTCCTAGAATACGAGGTCATAACCTTCTACTAAGCAATTATCAATCGAAAGATCTAATGAAATATAATAATTATTTTTTCGAATACTTTTCATAGAATATAATCATTCCTATTTGATAATACAATGATTAAATTATTTTTTACAATTAATTAATTAGTAGATAATTGAATGATGAAAAGGAGAAATAATCTATCTCTATTTATAAAAGAATAGATAAATTAACATAAATTCTTTTTCAATATTTACATATGTAAATAAATTTACCGAATTTGTTCTGTTATTGTAGGAAAATGATTATTCCAAGTGCAAACTGTTGTTTGAGGATCTGGCCAAGAACAAAACCACCATAAAGGTTTGGCAGGATCACATAATTGATTTGTTCGATTAGAATATAAAATATACATTACAAATAAAAGAATAAAAGGTATTAAAATAATCATTCGACATAATGATAATATTCGAATACGTTGTTGAAAATAATTAATTAATATTTTAATGAAAGACATTGATGAAGTTTTTCGAAGATAATTATGCTTATAAAACATTAATTTATAGAAATTTTAATATTTTCTTGTTCTATATACATAATATATTTACTAATATTAATAAATCTAATATCATATTTGAGGTGTATTTGTCAGATTGTCAAGAGACACTGACGTATTAAAACATAAATAAATACGTGTTCTTTATCTGATCCTATCTGAAAGTAAATATTTAAATTGACAAAAAAAGGAGTCGTAGTTATACCAATTCGGTGCTGCAATAAAAAGTAAAAGAACGTATATAACCGTCAATAAAAATAAATTGAAATATTTAACATATACAAATTTTCGAAACGAAGATTCATTTTCTTATAGAACAAAAACGAAAATGTTGAAAATAATTGAATTAAAATTCAGACTCATTAAATCATCTCTTTACTGTTAACTTTCTCTCTCGCTATACTTCCATATCACTACACTAGGGATTCACAACAAACAAGTAAATGTTGAATAAGATTCATTGATATAATTTAATTTTCATACTCTTTTGTATAATGTTAATACGTTAATAGTTTTCATTTTCAAATGGCACGTGTTCTTAGATAGTTTATGAAAAATTCATTTGTCCCTGTCCTATTCTATAAATGTTCACAGAAGTAATATATGGGAAAAACCTTGAATGATTAATCATTCTAAGACATTTCTTTTTCTTTTCCGAGAGACGGTCTGTGAGTATGTGGTAGACGACTAATTGCTTTACAGTTGTTTGGTTTCCATGGAAAATTCTATTTTTTCTTCTTCTTCTTCGTCTGTCTGTCATACTAGTTATGATTGAAATGAATCATGTCTTGTTTAGATTTGAGTATTTATTTAAAATAAAAATAATTATTAGAATATTATGAAACTGTAGTATATATATATATATCTTAAATCTATCGTTTTTCAAATTTTAAATTAACAATGTGAAATATAATCAGTCACAGTTGACAAATCTTTTTTCACACTTATATATAAATCAATATTTACACGACTAATATAGACCAGAAATCTGGGAAGTTAATTAATAACTGATACAACTTTTTTTTTGTTCAGGTTTATCTTTCCTTTCACCTTACTATTCTAGTTTCTATTCGTTAGACTATATTTAATGGATACAATATTTAATTTCAACTCTAACTAATATATCTTTTGAGTCTGATAATGAACAATATTGTATTTAAAATGAAAAAGAATACCTTTTGTATGATAAATATATTGAAATCGTGTGTGTATGTAGATATATTCTATGTTTTAATCATAATTTCTTACTCATATCTATTTTTAATCTTGGTTTCTAAGCACATTTTTCTCTATTATATGGTTATCTCTTCACAATCTTTTTATTTCACAATGTAGAATGTGCCAGTTATTTTTTTATAAAAGTCACGGATACAGGTCGTCTATCTCGTTGTTTTTTTTATTAATATTTCTCTACTTACGCAAATAGACAGAATTCTAAGCTACCAAGTTGAAGGAAATTTTTATTTCATAGAAAAAAAAGAATACTTGCTTTTATCAATATTTGGAAATGCTGGAAAGAATAAAATTTACTTTCAATATATATTCATTGAATAATATATTTGAATAAATAAATACATAGTCATTTTAAAAATAATCTATATATGAAACATACGAAAAGGTATCATAACTGGAATCACTCTATTTTCATTTTTTCATCACTTCACTTTATTACTTTTTTGATTTTTTTTTCTTCAGTTTATTGCGGATCATAAGATATACAAGTCACTGATGATACATAATAGTTGTAGATAGTGGTTTGTATATCTTAAGATTCACAGTAAATTGAAAAAAAAACGAACAAAAAAGGTAATGATAAATAAAGCCCTCCTATTGTTACGACCTCTCTTTTTCTTCTTTTCTTACTCTCTATTATCTTCCTTACCATATGCTTATTCTCATTGTTATATTAAATAGGGATGTTACTTTATCTTTACTTTATAAATAATATTTATATTGAAAATAAAGATTATCTCTATTCTTTATAAAATAAAATAACATTCTTAATATTAAATACTATTACAAATTATATCTTGTTGACCTACTACTACAGAAACAATACACTTCTCAATATTAAAAAAACTATAAGGTCATTTATAAGATTAAAAAAAATATGAGTTAGTTAGGTATTATTAAAATCATTACATTACTTTTTATTTAATACAAATAAAATTTAAGATTCTTAATTTACAAAAAATTACAACCATATAAAAGAAATAGTGTACATTAATATATATATATATATATAGAATAACTCTTATTAAGGGTGGATGTGAATGAAGATGAGAATGTGACAATGAAGTGGAACTGACATTCACACTAGAGTCATCAGACTCCATTTCCGGTTCTTAAATTTGCGTTTGGAACGGGCGGTTTTACGATAATATACAGAATATCGAATAATAGACTTTTTAAATTTATATATTTTATTTTCGAGATTCTTTACATTGGTTATTTATGAAAAAGTCAATATCTTCATAATAAGACTTCGCCTAGAACGAGAGAGCACGAAAATAGTTTTTTTATGAGACAAACTATCCCATAGGAATTGAGACAATTCTCAGAACATTTTCATCTCATCGGATGAGACTATCTTTAGAAATTTTCTATCCCATCCGATGGAA